TGGTTTTATAAATTTGGAAATATTTGGTCAGATAACTATAAAATATCCAAAAACTCTATTTTATATATAGAGGATAAAAAAATGTTAAACATTTTCTAGTATTGGGCTCTGCAAATCTATTTGAAATAGTCAAAACTCTATTTATATAGGAGACTAAATTAAAGTATATAATTACTAATTTTGTTAAAAGCACTTTTCTACAAATCACAAATTTTGATTTTTTAAATTTATTTTTACCAATTCAACTTTCTACATCAAATTTTGAATTTCTTTAAAAAAAATGATGTAGTCAGTTCCGTTGATTTAGTCTACTACTTTGTCTTTTACCCAGCTTTAATTTAATAGAAACAACTAATTTTGTTGTGTGTTTGATATATATAGTGATGAACGAGTGGAGAAAGATAAGTTTTTGTATGAAACTAAGACTAACAATAAATTTCTGAAAGAAGAAAAAAACAAAATATTTTATAATCATTTAAGTTATGAAGTACTCTGCTACATTTTTCATGATTTTATGTGTTTTCACATTCTTCGTTTTGAGTCATGGTCAAATGTGTTTTCACATTCTTCGTTTTGAGTCATGGTCAAGGTAATATACTAACATCTATTAAGCTTGGATTGATTACTCGAGAAACTTTAAAACAATGATTATTACTAATCACAAATTTGTGTTGAATTGATTCGATTTTTTTGGGGTTCCAATAGCTTTCTCTATAAACTAAACTTTAATCTAAAATTAAAATGATTTATGTAATTGATATGAAATAACAGGCATGAGAGTTAAGAAGGTGTGCAATGATACAATACCTTATGACGGAGTGTGCGGAAAAGATGGAAACACACATTGCAAAACAAAGTTTAAAACTGCTATTCATTGCAAATGTTTAGACCTAGCCATTCCCAAATACCCACAAATGTTTTGTAATTGCAAATATCCTTGCCCACCGTAAGTTTTAGTATAACTTCATAAATAATGTTATGTTTGATAAAAATAATAAAAAGAAACTTTACGAGTTTCTTATGTAGGATAAAAA